TTTTTTTTTTTTTTTTTTTTTTTGGTCAAATCTCCTCAGGTGATTTTGTTGCTGAGTGAGAGTCAAAAACCACAAGATGAGATGATCTCAAAGTCCCTTCTGTTTCTCACATTCTAAGATTCTTCTCTGCTAAAATTAGACTTGCTTGTTCATCACTAAGAGAACTGGTGGGGAGAGAGGCATCTGCATTTTTTCAAGCTCTCGAGGTTTTAATTTAAGCTGCATCTACGTGGGCAACAGGAGCTGAGGCCCGAGTCAGCAGCAGGTGAATCAGATCACCACGAAGGAGGCCCATTCTGGGGCAGGCTCTCCAGCTCCCACAGAGCAGCTCAAGGGGGTTCTGGGATGTGCTGGGGTTTCAGGCTTGGAAACACAGTTCGTACAGGTTTTGGGGGATCATATAAAAGATGTAGCCTCATATGGCTGGCTGGTATGGCTTAAAGTGGAGACAGGTGGAAAATAGAAAGTGCCTTTGGCACATAGATGCCAGCTTCCTGTGATGGTCTAGAAAGAGGGATGGAGGTGGCGAAGTTATAAGAGACTGCCAGGAGACCAAGAGGAAGGAGACCTGTGTTTCAGTCTGAGCCTTGGTATGAATTTTCTGGGTAACCCTGTAGTCACTTCCTTTTTGGGGGTGGGGAGGCTCAGTTTTCTCACTTGTAAAGTGGAGTGTTTGAACTGATCTCTTACCTACCCATAGGACTTAGCGACACAACAATTTCTTATGTTTTTATCCTGTTTGGCTTTTATAGTAAGTATCCAGGGGCTGGGCACGGTGGCTCATGCCTGTAATCCCAGCACTTTGGGAGGCCGAGGTGGGTGGATCTCTTGAGGCCAGGAGTTCGAGACCAGCCTGACCAACATGGTAAAACCCTGTCTCTACTACAAATACAAAAATTAGCAGGGCGTGGTGGCGCACACCTGTAATCCCAGCTACTTGGGCGGCTGAGGCAGGAGAATTGCTTGAACCTGGGAGGCGGAGGTTGCAGTGAGCCGAGATCGCGCCACTGCACTCTAGCCTAGGCAACAAAGTGAGACTGTCTAAAAACAAACACACACACACACAAACAAACAAACAGCATCCAGGGCAGCTGACGTAGAGCCCCCATCCCCAACTTTTCCAGCAAACTCAAGAGGGAAATGTTTTGCCAAAACCATACAGCAAGGACTCTCGTGGCTTTTAAGTTTGTATTCTCATTCACTAGGTCACTAGCAGTTCTAAGGTTCTAAAACTTCCCCTTCACTTTGGCGTCTTAAGGACAGATAACATATATTCATTCTAGGAGGTTATTTATGTTAACAGCAGGGCTAAGAAGAAATAAAACAATTTTGCAGCTCAGAGGAAATTAGAATTCCAAAAAGGAAGGATGAAAAGAAGAAAGGAGGGAAAGAGGAAGGAAGGAAAGAAGGAAGGGAAGGGCCCAGCTAGATTTCCATTGATGGGCAGAATGCCTGGGGCTAGTATTACCTTCTGTCAGCCCTAGGCACAAAATCGCGACTTTCCCTCTCACTTGGTTTTGTGCCACACTCCACATCGCCAGGAATGAGTGACGGGAGAAAACGGCACATCAACATTGCCTGTTGCTTCATTCTTTGTAGATACTGGCAAGGCTGAATTTAGCACTGGGGAACTTGATTTTTTTTTTTTTT